GGATGGCAAAAATGATACAGAGAGGAACAAAGGATGCGATATGGTACAGGATGGCAAAAATGATACAGAGAGGAACAAAGGATGCGATATGGTACAGGAAAGAGAACAGCATGGCACAGTCAGCCTGGGGATGAGCAAGGTGAGAGTGCTGCTAAGTCCATCAAGAGAGAGCTCAATTCCTGTGTTTCCACAGCTTTATATTCAACCACACACACCCAGGAGTGAATGCCTGCTCTACCCTGCACCAAGCATGAGTTTTTCATTTCCTCATAAAGCTGGAGGAAAAATAAATATATATTCATTCAGAAAAGTTCATAGTTAACTACATCTCACTATGAGAAACAGTTATCAGATGAGGTCTGAGTGGGAACAGATGCAGCATGGACAGGGCTCAGAGGCCGCAGTGCTCCTCCAGTGTGCAACACAAAGCACGCGTCACTTCAGAACAGTCCTCAGCCCACGTCACCTCATCCTTGTCCCAATCTGCACCTCCTGACATTCAACAAAGAAACAACTTTTGGAAGGCATTCTCCAGATATACTGCCAATGTTATTTGGCAGGAGATTAGCTCCCTGTAAGGAACAAAGTTATGGATGTAAGAAGGAAATAAAGAAATCTTTCTCCCCTTACTCCATTTTCTCCCTCCCCCCCTGCATTTTAATTAGAAGAACCAATTTTCCTTTGGCTCACCAAGTAGCACCTGGCAGGGATGCAGAATTGAAGCATTTAATTCTCCAGGCAGTGACTGCACTTACCAGGCTGCTTTCTCGTGGCCTCTCTCACCCATCATCAGTGCCAACAAATGACTTCTCTGAAGTAAGAGCATGTCAAGCAAAATGCACATGTACTAAAGGCTTTCTTTAGTAACACCCGTTTGCTAGTTCAGTGCTGGGAAAGAAAATGGAACTTGCTTAAACATATCCATCTAGCTTAAATTTATATGCCTTGCCTCCACAGCTCTGGATAGCTCATGTTGCTTCATTGACAGATCACTGTCATGATCTGGCTTTGCAAATTTTTGAATGAAAACCATTTTCCACCAGAGACCGTTTGATTTAAATAGCGATTCAGGGAAATCCAGTGCCCTGTGCTACACAGGTTAGGCTGCTAGACTGCAGAGCCTTGGTTTTGTTTTGTTTGAAGTTTATGACTTTTTTTTTTTTTTTTGTAACTTGAAGTTATTAAACTATATACTCAAAAACCCTTCTGCGTTCATACTATTAATGGAAGCACAATAAAACAGAAGGCAGGAAGCAGGATAAGTGTGGGTGGCCACTCCACTTGTAACAAGCAGAAGCATCTTGAATTTGAGGAAATAAGCAGATGACTGCTGGAGCTACAGGGAAGAAAGAGTTCAATCATCTCCAGACATGGTCTTCTTTCTATTTTCTGGGGGGAGGAGAGAGGGGTGATGTTCTACTACCACACAGGGATCTATAGTGTATCACACAAGAAAAAGATCTGCAGATGCAGTCTGCAGTTTGTCCACATTTTTTGGTTGGTTTTCATGAGTTACATTTAAACATTTCTTACATCTTTTGAATGTTCTGGTAGCTGTACTGTACGTCATTCCAGCAGCTCTGCTCTTACTGCAGACCTACATCTAAAGGAAGGTATAATGGCAACATAACACCCTAAAATGTCATTTTTTCAGAAATTTTAGTTTCACCTGTTTTTACCGCTGCTTTGTCATTAAAGGAAAACAGTGCAAAGGTTTAAGTCACTGTGTAATCAGACATCCTAAATAAACATACATATATTGCTGCCAAGTTCTTCTAAAACTGGTACAAGGAAGATGCAAAAAGCATGGAGAGAGAAAAAAAATCTGTTACTAAAATAAAGGTGGTTTCTCAACCCAACCACAGATCAATAGGCTACTGAATAAGCAGCAATATTTTCATACTCTTGTGTATCCTTTTGAGAATGCTGGATGATAATGAGGAAACTGAGAAGTAGTAAACTGCATGGAGGAATAATACCCTTTAAGTATTTTTATCTTTAATAGTACTCTTTAAGCCTTTAGAGCCCTCTACTACATTAATTTTTCTCAGCTAAATTAGGGTGCTAGTGTATCTGATTCTTCCCATCCTCCCAGATCAATTGTATTCAGATGTCAGAGAGACATCAGTACTCAAATACTTTGTCATGGTTGCACTTTTCTTAAACCTTAACCTTTCTGTGTTTCCTGATTTACAGCTCATGTAATGTGCAGACTCATGCTTGAATTCTCCTTTGGGAGTCAATGTTTTAGTAATGTCAGCATTGTCTTCGGTCATGTCTACATTAGCATGATTAAGCTACTTCTGTAAATGTTCCACCTTGCAACCTAACAGCTCATTATCATGAGATTGGCCTGGTACCCTTTATCAACAAGGTAAGGCCCATAAAGCATTTAGCACCACGTTAAGGTTACTTCTGATCTTCTCATCAGTATAAAGGGAGTTCAAGTCAACCCCAGAAAAAGGGCACACATTAATCAAACGATGCACTGGGTTCTTTTTCTACCTCCCATTAAGCTATTTGCATGCCAGTCATTTCATTTGCTGTTTGCCACAGGACCTGATCCACTCCCTTGTTTGTTTTTTTTAGAGTTATTGCTGTTGTTATCCAGCGATTGCTGGGTCACCCTGCTCTGCCCACTGCATTGGGATGCTCTGAGTCTGCACCTTTGTTGGTGAGGACCTGCTCTGTGCTATCTGCACCCTTGCTCTTTTCCCTAAGCTTGATTTGCTCTTGGCTGTATCAGGTGACTCAGAACAGTGTGATACCTCAACTGAGAAGTCACTTTTCCTTTCTAACATGTTCTTCAGCATATTAATGCTTATTAAGAGACTGCAAACACAAAATAAACAAAGAGCCATCGATCTCAATTTTATTTTGCTTTTCTGTTGTGACCCTTACTGTAGGTTCCCTTTGTGATCTACGTTGTTTCACTTTGCCAGAAAGACCTCAAAATCACCTGGTAAGCATCTTGCTTATTGCAGCAGCAAACAAAGGAGAAATCATGCAACTCTAGGGGGAAGCCTAGCATAGCGACCTAGCTCATGGATCCTGCTCCACCATTAACACGAACAACAGCCCACCATCCTTTTCTGCATCAGATGTAAAGAACGTGCTATATAATCTCTTAAAACAAGAAGTACTCAAAGTTGCTTCAATTTCAAAACTTTTGAGATACTATCTCAAAAAAAGTCAAATCCTTGCCTTTTCCATTTAGAGTGGAAATTGTTCAGAAGCACTTAGAGATAAAAAGCACTTAGAGATAAGAAGTCAGTGTGGGAGTATTTGCACAAGTATTGTGGGGGGAGAGGTAAGAAAATAATTAAAATAAATAGAGCACTTTTTGGTATTCAGCCGAGCTTGGTGCGAAGTCTGTGCTACCTTAACAATTTTCCATGTTTTCCTCTGGAAAAGAGGAATGATCAAAAAAGGAGAAGGGAACACAGAGAGGCATTTATAGTAAGTTTTCAGTAATGCCACTTACCTTTCAAAGCTTCCTATCAAAAAACTTTGAAGATTAATTACTAATTATCCTAGATCCTATTCATGACTGATGCAACAAATAAATACATACAAATTAGATACTATAGAAGTAGATATTTTACTAGAAGGAAACTGAAAACAGTATCATAAAGGCTTCCTCTGTATGTGCTTGTTTGAATGGCTCTACAGGTATGTATGTGGATGAGAAAAAGGTACCAGAAAACAGCAGGCTGAAGAGTGTGTTTTAAGTGGTAGCATGTGAAAGTCTCCCATGTGCTCCTAAGCTCCAGAGATGAGCAGTTCTGCTGAATCCACAGAATCTGAGAACTCTGAACACCGAGTCTCCTGAATCTGTCCCAGTCCACTAACATCAGCCATGGGTCGTATAACCCAGGCTACATCCAAGAAACGTGCTAATTGCAAGACCACAAGATTATATCAAAGTAATACATTTGCATATGATGAAACAAAAGGCCTTGAGGGAGTTCCTGAACATCTACATCAAATCCATGGGTGCTTCTGGTTTTAAGTCAACAGCTGGAATTAAGTGTCCCAGCTGGGTGACTGTGAAATGTTCATGAACTCTGTGAGGGAATGCAGTGGGTGATTTAGCTCTTTGCTATTCATAATAAGAGCTAAACACAAGATTTTCCAATAAATAGATTTCATTGTGTGGGTGACAGACCACTGACACAGGTTGCCCAGACAGACTGTGGACATGGTCCTGGGCAACTTTCTCTTCCTAGTCCTCCTGAACAGGGGAATTCCAGAGGTCCCTTCCAACCTCATCCCCTCTCTGATTGTGTATTTCCAACTGTGGTCTCAAGATCTCCACAGTTACGCCAAATCTACATGCCAGCAGAAAGTCTAGGACTGACTCACGACCTCCCGTCAGCCTGGAGATACCCAGGAGCTACCAAAACGAATCGCAACAAGTCTTCCTTGAGGCTCAGGAGACCGAAGAGAGCGAATTCCTTCAGAAGAAACACGCTTTTAAAACATTTTGTTGGGCTTTGTGAGACCTCTCGTGGCCAGATGTCTTCCTTGCGGTTCTGACGGTTTTGCTACAGCTGTGCTTTGCAGTTAGGAGAGGTTTTTTTCCAGAGAGCCACTGGAACAGGCTGCCCAGGGAGGTGGTGGAGTCTCCTCTGGAGATGTTCAAGACCTGCCTGGATGCCTACCCGTGCGACCTGGTGTAGGGAACCTGCATTGGCGGGGGGGCTGGACTCGATGATCTCTGGAGGTCCCTTCCAAACCCTACAATTCTGTGATTCTGTGATTCTGTTTTGGTTCGCAACCCCAAAAAATAATTTTAGAGAAGGAAAAACCTAATCCAAAAGACTTTTAGCGACACGTGTTTTGTTTTGCTTTTTTCTCCTGAATTTATGCTGCTAAAAAGAAGTTATTATCTTGCTCTGTACTGTTACAGACTAAGCACACCATTGTAATACATAACATTGACTGCATTCTAATGCACACAAATTTGCTTTTAAAGGAAGAAGAAGAGCTCCCGTTACCTCAGCAGCCATTTCTTTGCTCCTGCCTGGAAACCCACCAGGAAGGGCTGGCAGCTGTACAAACTTCTGCTCCGGGCACATCTCTGAAACCTCCGCACTGCACTGCGGTTCTTCTCACAGCACGGCCTGCGAGAAAGTGCTCCAAAGGAGGTGCACGGCTTCCCCTTCCCCAAGGGAATCTTTTTTTTTTTTTTAAGGTTACGGCCTCACATTGTGCCTGGGGAGAGTCAGACAGGACAGTAGTAAAACTTTTTCCACACGGAGGGCTGCAAAGCGTTGGCACGGGCTGCCCATGGAGGCACTGGGGTCACTATCCCTGGAGGTGTGTTAACAGACGAGTAGGTCTGGTGCACAGAGACAAGACTTAGCTACGAGCTCCCGAATTCGGGAACGCAGGTCACGACCCGAGGGGGCGGCGCGATGCCAAGATGGCGGCTCCCGCCTGACGCGGTTGGTGCGGAGCGCGGGTGGGCGGGGCGCGCGGTGGGCGGGAGTGGCGCGCTGTCTTGGCGCGCGCCGGCGGCGGGCCGTGTTTCCCGCCGTGGCCATGTCTCGCCAGAGCACCCTGCTCCGATTCTTCCCCAAGGCCCAGCAGCCGCGGGCCGCAGCCACCCCTCCGCCCGCCGGTGGGGAGAGCCGATGCCGTTCTTCCAGGGAGCGGAACGGTCTCGAGGCCGCCGCCGGGCCCGCGGAGCGTAGCAAGGAGAATGGCAAAGCGGATGGGGCGGCCGCCAAAGGCCGCGGGTAAGCGAGGGGGCTGCGGGGCCTGGGCCCGCCTCGGGCCGGGGAGCGGAGCGATCATCTGCGTGCGGCGCGTCCTCTGGTGTGCTGGGGCTCGGCGGCGGGGGAGGGCGAGCCCGGGCCGCTCTGCCATGGGCGGGCTTCCCGTCGGCCGGGCTTTCTGTGCGCGAGGCTGTGGGCAGCTCAGCTCGTTTCCTTCGTGCGCCCTGCCCTGTTCTGCTGCGGGAAGCGAGCGGCTGTGTAATCTGGCCGTCTCCAGTGCATAGCCCGGGGCCGTCTCCAGTGTATGGCCCGGGATCTTCTTTTAACTAATGGCTGGTTGAGCGCTCCTTCGCCCTTAGGAAATACAGGAGGCGTCGGGTGGGTAGGGAAGGAATGCAAAGCGGAGCCTGGGGGAGCAAAGCACAAAAACGAGGCTGAGAGGGATGTGGGCACCGTTAGAAGGACTTGAAGGGCTGAACTAGGTCACGCCTCCCGGCAGCTTCCCAGGCCCTTCCGCAGGCACGCTGCTTGCTGCACTGCATGCCTTCCTCTGTGAGGATGGTGCTCGTTAACCCCTTCGTATCTTGTCTGTGCAGTGTCTCCAATATTTATTCTCCCGGGGACTTGGTCTGGGCCAAGATGGAAGGCTATCCCTGGTGGCCGTGCCTCATCTACAACCATCCCACGGAGGGAACCATCGTCAGAGGGAAAGGGAGCTCTTCTCGGATCCACGTGCAGTTCTTTGATGTCAGTCCCACGAGGGGCTGGGTCAGCATCAAGTACCTGAGGCCGTACAAAGGTAGGAGATGTCAGTAAGTTGCTTTGAAGAAGAGATGCCGCTCCTTTTGGTTCAGAATCTAGGCTATGGTGTTCTCCATAGGAAATGAGTAACAAAACTAAGAGCAGTGTTGAGAGTGAAAGCATGTTTTGTACTGCCTAATGTTAGGGAAAGTAAGTTTTTGTGGGTTTGGGGTGTTTGGGGTGTCTGTGGCTATAAAGCCCTGAGCCATCTTGTTTGCTAGGTTACAGTGAAAGCTGCAAGCTTGCTTATGTTTTGAAGTTTTTCTTTTATTCTCCACATGTATATAAAGAAAATCAAAGACAAATCCTTGAAATCCTGAAAAATGTTAGGACTGTCAAACCTTGTTTGTAAGCAAGTATTTGAGAGTTGACATTTGCCCTGAATAGGAAGATTAGGCACAAGAGCTCTGTCTTAAGGTTATTTCACTTAAGCCATAATTAGTTTTAAAATGGTAATGTTATCTCAGTGTTAGTACAGTCCAGCGTAGGTGAATGGGTTCACGTGCATCTTTCCTGAAGGCATTCTAAAAGAATCAGGTGTATTTTTAAAACAACTTGCAGTGTTTATAGAAGCAGATGTGGATTAGAAGAATTACACTACTTACCAAAATAATTGCAGTAAAATAAGAATAGTGCAAAATGTTTAAGCACAGGAGTACTAGTCTGTCTCCAAGAAAGGTGGCTAATTCAGAACAGAGTATGAATATTTAAAATGCTTGCTTTGCTATTAAATTAAGATGAATAGCACTTAAAAAAAAAATAAAAAAATCATTGGTTAAAAGTATTGCTTACAACTGAATAAATATAAACACCACAAAGCCAGGCTTTGTAACAGTTGGGCAAGCGAGAAATTGAGTGATTTATGTATAAGTAGACTAAGTGAAAATGAAGATGTTGCACATGAGTATGCAGTTAAATTGCATGATGGGATTTGCTCCTGCAACTGTTGTCATTATTAAATGCATTAAAAGTATTTTTAGGTTGTCTTGCTGCATTTGCAAACTAAAAAGAAGATCTAGTTTGTTGATATGTTGCATTTGCGTGGTAGAAATAGCTCCTTGAAACTTCATACTTGGGTACTGAGAGCCCACAAGTGAGCTACCTTTGGCCTGCGGTTAATTTGGAGCTGAAGCTTCAGCTAATAGCAGCCTCCCAAGTGACTTGCAAGAACAGGTGTAAAGATGTGTTAAAGCAGAACCTGTTGCTTCATGCAGACAGCTAAAAAAGCAGAAAAAGGAATCATCCTTCCCCATCTGTGGCATACTCTTCTCTTTCCCCAAGCTGAGTATATGGTATGTTGTGTATTCACCATTTATTCCTTCAGCGTAGCATTAGGATGAATCCCAACTTCTCTGAGGATCCTTTCTAGAAACCAGTCTGTAGGTTGGTTGCCTTTGCTTTTTGTCTTTGTTTTCAGGTAGTTGCCTTCTGCAAGAAAAGAGGAACTGCACTGCTAAAGGGATGTGAGAGGGGGGGGAAAATACTTTGTATATGAAATGTACATATTGTATGTAATATTTAATAATCTAATGATATCTAGTAGCTTGGATGCATTTAAAAGCGAAAGATGGATGCTAACTGGCTAAATTCTGGACCAGCTCAGTTTCTGACAGATGGCTGTTTTGCAGGCTCATCAGACAGAGAGGTGCTGAAGGGAGGTATGTTTTATAGTACGAAGCCTGAAATTAAAAAAGCAATGGAGCTGGCAGATGATGCCATGAGTAAAGATAAGCCTAAGCGACTTGAGCTGGCAGTGTGCAGCGAACCTTCAGATGCTGAGGAGGCAGAGGAGGAGGAAATGGAGGTAAAATATTTCTTGCTGTCATTTTCAGAAATAATGGTAGAACTTAGAAGCTGTCTCTTGGAGCTAAGCACGGAGTATCTGCAACCTTGTGGTAGAGTAACCACTGCTTGTCTGCTCCTTGATAGCACATACAACAAATGCCTATGCCTTTTTGTATTGCCTCTGTGCTGTTAGATCACATGCTGTTCTTCTACCTTTTCTACTAAGAAAAACAAATCTAATGTCTCTTCAGTGTTCCCTGACCTCAATAAGTTTCTTAAATTCTCTAATATATTTATAACCTCTTCTCAGTGGCCATTCCCTGGGTACCCCCGTTTACCTGCTGTCTGGCAAAGTACTCTCTTTTTATCCTCTGTTCATATTCTAAACCGTCCTAAATTCAGTTGAAATTCTCATTTCTCACATAAAAATTGTTAACTTTTTGAGCGCTTGGTTTAAGACACTAAGTTGGGTTTTGAAGCCTGATCTTGTGGAGTTGCACCAAAATACAAATTCTTATACTGTTAATGCTAGTCTGCTGGGATAACTAAAATGAGATCTTTTAGTGTGTTGCGTTCATAATGTATTATCATTCAGATACAATTTCAATACTGCCACGTGCATTGGAATAAATTTCTGTGGTATGAGGAAACTGCTGATGGGAGTAGTGTTCCTTACCTCTTCTGTCAGTGTGACCTGTCTGCTCTTTCTCCAGCATGACATTTCTCCAGCAACAGGTGACAACACTGCGGGGCAAACTACCACTCTGTACTTAGTACAGTCTTTCCATTGCTGCATTCTTCTAGCACAGGCACTGGTATTGTTAAAGCTTTAGGCTGAAAAGACAAATAATGGAGTTCCCTTTCTTTTTACTAAACATGCGTGAACTAAACAGCATGGTTAGCTGATGGAGGTGTTTCTTCTTTATGCTGGGTGTCACGTACTCTACACCTTTTGTGTTTGAAGCTTCTATTTTTTTAACATGGATCGCTTATGCATATTCAAATGAAGCAGTAAGGACTACAGAGAGAGGAGCAATTACAGCACGGGCAGATAGTTTACTTCCCAGTAAAGAATATCCTGTGAAGTGACACTGCTGTGTGGCTGTGACTGTCCTGTCTTTTGCTTGAAGTATCATAGCTACTGCATTTGTGTGCTTCTCTTTGCAGCAGTGATATTTTCACTTTGTGGGCAGAACTTTTAATAGGTTAAATGATTTCTCTTTCAGCAGATGAGTGGAAGTGCATCAGGCGACAGTGATGACAGCAACAGTGAGGAGGATGTGAAGGGCAATAAGCGAGTACCAAACAGAGGTAGTGCCATAAAAGCCAAAAGAAGAAGAATGCTGGATTCGGACAGCGATCGTGATGGTTCTGATGTAGAGTTCAAGCCTGATGTGAAAGAAGCAGCAAGCAGCGAGGAAGCTAGTAGTGGGGTGGATGAAAATGAAGCTACTGATGCAGAGACAGATGCAGAGAGCATTGAAGAAAGTCCTATAAAAGTCCCTTCTAAACGGAAGAGAGGAAACGTTAGCAAGCCTTCTAAAAGGAGTAGCTTAGAAAATGAACATTCTGAAGCACCCAAAAGAGCAGCACCAGTTTCGTTAGAAGCCAAGTCTAAGCTGACATTGTTTGCAGCACCTGACAATTTTGAGTCTCAGGCAAACGCCTGCAGTGGAGGCACTCCTGGCTTTGCAGCATGGGAACATGAGAAGCTTGAGTGGCTGCAGGAAGGGAAAAAGAAAGATGCACACAGGAGACGACAGAATGACCCTGACTATGACCCATGCACCTTGTACGTACCTGAGGACTACCTTAACAAATGTACGCCTGGAATGCGGAGGTGGTGGCAGCTGAAAAGTCAAAACTTTGATGCGGTGATTTGCTACAAAGTTGGAAAATTCTATGAGTTGTATCACATGGATGCAGTCATCGGTGTGAATGAGCTGGGCCTGGTATTTATGAAAGGTTCATGGGCTCATTCCGGTTTCCCAGAAACTGCATTTGGCAGGTTCTCTGCTATTCTGGTTCAGAAGGGCTACAAGGTAGCCCGTGTTGAGCAAACAGAAACTCCTGAAATG